TACACAGGAGGATACCAGCGATATCCATATGAAATTATGTGCACGTAATTCTGGCACATTGTGTACAAGTGACAGGTCCTTAGGCATGTTAATTCCTCAACCCAGGCCCTGGCTGTTCAGGTTCTAAAGGGAGGGCTTAGCACACGTAATCTTTCCCAACATAATCATACAGCACTCCTAGGTGCCAATAAGTGGAAAATGGCAAATGTGATACCTATTTTAAAACAGGTGACAGGTCTTAGCTTCGAACTATAGACAATTGCCTACCTCCATAGTGGGAAATTTAGGGAATCAATAATTGCGAGCAGTTCGTAGCCACCTTGAAAAGCAGAAATTTAATCAACGAATCTCAGCATGGTTTAAAAGGCGTTCCTGCCTACGTTTTTTACTTTTTCACAAAGGTATTTAAAGGAGGTAGTCAGGTAATGATATGATATTGTGTATATGACTTCAGAAAGGCTTTTGACAGGTTTCCACATCAGAGATATTGAGGAAAATTAAAGCACATGGAATAGGAGGAGAAATTTTTTCCTGGATAGAGGCCATGTTGACAAATAGGCAGCAGAGAGTTTGCAAAAATGGGGAGAATTAAGTGGGGAAGCTCACGAGCGGGTGTTCCACAGGGGTCAGTGTTGGGCCCCTGCTGTTCACATCTACATAAGACGTTTAGATGAGGCATAAAGAGCGACATCGGCCGTTGCGATGACTCCACAAATAGGCCGTCGAATCCTTTTCTGACGAGGAATTCGAGCACTCCAGGAAGATTTGAATTAGACTGATGCAGTGGTCGGAGAAGTGGAGATGCAGTTTATTATGGGACAAATGCAAAGTTCTAAATGTTGGACAGGACAATAACCATGCCACATATAACTAATATGTAATCTTAATATTACGGATTGCGAAAAAGATTAGGAGTTCTGGTTAGCAGTAATCTGAAACCAAGACAACAGTGCATAAGTGTCTCGAAATAAAGCATGAATCCTTGGCTTCATATCAATGAAGCATAAAATTTAGGAGTCCTCAGGTTGTTCTTCACTCTATACATCTTGGTTAAGGCCTCATTAGATTATGCTGCACAGTTTGGTCACCGTTTTACAGAAGGATATAAATCTCTGAAAATGTACAAAGGGGGGACAAAGATGATCCATGTATCAGAAACTTCCTATAGGATTGATAAGGGCCCTGAACTGCACTTTTCTAGAAGAGAGAATCAGGGGGGATATGATGAGGTTTAAAAGTGGAAGACAGGAATAAATAAGGGGATGTAAATGTGGCTGAAATATCTAGCTAGACAGGACTCGCAGCAATGGTTTTAAGTTGAAAATTCAGATTCAGAGGGTCATGGAAAGTACTGTTTGGTAATAGAGTTGGGATGAGTGGAACAAACTCCCAAGTACGTTATAGAGCCAGAACGTGTGTAGCTTTAAAAATAGGTTGGATAAATACATGAGTAGATGTGGGTGGGTGTGAGTTAGACCTGATAGCTTGTGCTAACAGGTCGGTTGCCGTGTTCCTCCCTTAACTCAATGTGACCTGACCTGACTAGGTGGGTGCATTGGCTTAAGCGGTAGGGACTTGGACTGCTCGCATGGGCCAGTAGGCTTCTGCAGTGTTCCTTCGTTCTTATGTTCTTCTTATGTTCTTATGTTCTTAAGAGGCGACTAACATGCCCGGAGTAAGGGGCTAGTAACCCCTTCTCCTGTATACATTACTAAATTTAAAAAGAGCAACTTTAGTTTTTTCTTTTGGGCCACCCTGCTTCGGTGGGATACGGTCGGTTTGTTGAAAGAAGAATATATATAATATATATATATTATATATATATATAAAAATATATATATATTTTTTCCACTTCTCAGAGGCTATGGGTCCCACAATTTACACCAGAGGTGGACTCCATCCTATATATATATATATATATATATATATATATATATATATATATATTATATATATATATATATATATTAGACTATTTGGTTCCACTTTAATTGATCTTAGTCAGGTTAAAATGCTCACTTTGTTGAACAAGGTCTTTCAAGGAGGGGCAGGGTATCTTGATACTAGTGAGGGGCTCTTGATCCAAGGAGTTAAAGCAATCCTCATCATCGAGTGAAAGTTGATTACCTCTCATTTCTCAAATACTGTATAACCCCAACGAGTTTAGCGCTTTTCCCATAATAATAATCGTGCAAGAAAGATATAAAATACCGACAGAATCTCTACCACTACGGTACTCTGAACACCACCTCCAAGGCTGAAACACTGTTTACCTTATCTTTTGTATATAGTTCTACTGTCTTCTAATTATGTCCTAGAATCTGTATTCATAAAGCCACTGGATGGTGAAACGTCTTCAATAAAGATAACCAGATGTTGCACATGTCTTAACTTTCTTCATAATAATAATAATAATAATAATAATGAATAATCTTAGCCTAGATAATCATAAAATGTTTTTTCCAAACGTTCCTTAGTTTGTATAATTTTAATTTAGAAAGTCTTATTTTTTAGAGTATTAATCTGTCCATACAGCTGACACTTTAAAGGAAGGAAGGAGGGGGCGCCTTGATGCTGAAGAGCTCTGGATCCAAGGAGCTACCCAATTTCTTGCCTCGGATCATACTGGAGTGCCTCTTATTCTCCAAGCGCTGTATGACCCCTCTATGGGTTTAGAGCTTCCCCGTGAATACAGTAACCAAGAAATGTCAAAATATTCCCCCACAATAACTACTTTACCAAACACCTTCAGCTAACAAACCGACCACTCAAAAGATTGGTTATATATGGAGTAAGAAAATTAATTTTAAAAATATACAGAAACTAGGATTGCATTATAATTTATATTTGACTCTTGCCATTAAATTAGCTGTGACCCAGGCGGTAATGTACACATATGCTGCTGTGTGATAGTTTATGTAATTATGTGTACCTATACCTGTATACACACAATTACTAGTCCTACTTTGCTTAAACTCACCACACACTACTACAGGTTTTTCTCGTTTAACGTTAATGTATATCTGTGCGTGCTCATATTTCATCAGCCTCAGCCAGTTGACAGTATTTACAAAAAAAAATATACATTTAAAATCCTCAGCGTGACCCAAATTCGGAAAGAAAACGGAAGTTACGAGAGTATAAGTAAACAAGAGGCAGTGTGTACACAACAGCCGCCCTCAGCCACGCTACTCCTCAATATTACTACTCTTTTGGGGTATTTATAATGGTTATTGCACTCTGTATTCTTGTGTTTACTGTTCCTTAGTGCTTCTATTAATTTTCCCTCTAGTATAGGCCAAGTTGGTAATGCCAGACGTTTTTAAACCGAATGAAAATCATAGCACTGTGTCCTTGCAGCGGTTCCTCGATATGTTTGATTCTGGGTATTTGTGTTAAGAGAATCGCTCTTCACTGTGTTGAATTAACTGTATATGGAGAGTGTTATAATAGTCATTGGAAGCGCTAAACCCGCAGGGGTTATACAGCGTCTGGGGAATGGGAGGTGATGGGGGTTTGAACCTAGGAAGAGGATAACTCCGATGGCCGAGCTCGTGAGCCCTTCACCAGCACACAATAGTAGACTGTTGAACTTTATTAAGTATACACACCGTAATATTCCTTCCTCTCTCGACTCCATGTGATTAATTATTTTGTTTTTGTTGTATTGGAACACTAATATTTTTTTTCTCTAGCAATGTAACATAACTTATGTCCCTCTTGATACATTGATGATTATTGCCGCCCATTCCCCAGGCACTGTATGACCCACAGGGGTTTAGCGATTCACTATGAATGTAATGATTCCTTGGACAGTCTGGAGGCAGCAACACTCAGGACAGTCTGGAGGCAGCAACACTCAGGACAGTCTGGAGGCAGCAACACTCAGGAGGCAGCAACACTCAGGACAGTCTGGAGGCAGCAACGCTCAGGACAGTCTGGAGGCAGCAACACTCAGGACAGTCTGGAGGCAGCAACACTCAGGCCAGTCTGGAGGCAGCAACACTCAGGCATCGGACAGTTCCCTTGGAGGGCAGCAACACTCAGGCCAGTCTGGAGGCAGCAACACTCAGGACAGTCTGGAGGCAGCAACACTCAGGACAGTCTGGAGGCAGCAACACTCAGGACAGTCTGGAGGCAGCAACACTCAGGACAGTCTGGAGGCAGCAACACTCAGGACAGTCTGGAGGCAGCAAAAATCAGGACAGTCTGGAGGCAGCAACACTCAGGACAGTCTGGAGGCAGCAACACTCAGGACAGTCTGGAGCAGCAAACACTCGGGACAGTCTGGAGGCAGCAACACTCAGGACAGTCTGGAGGCAGCAACACTCGGACAGTCTGGAGGCAGCAACACTCAGGACAGTCTGGAGGCAGCAACACTCAGGACAGTCTGGAGGCAGCAACACTCGGGACAGTCTGGAGGCAGCAACACTCAGGACAGTCTGGAGGCAGCAACACTCAGGACAGTCTGGAGGCAGCAACACTCAGGACAGTCTGGAGGCAGCAACACTCAGGACAGTCTGGAGGCAGCAACACTCAGGACAGTCTGGAGGCAGCAACACTCAGGACAGTCTGGAGGCAGCAACACTCAGGACAGTCTGGAGGCAGCAACGCTCAGGACAGTCTGGAGGCAGCAACGCTCAGGACAGTCTGGAGGCAGCAACACTCAGGACAGGTCTGAGAGGCTCTATCTGAATGGACAATCAGGCTCTTCATAGGCTGTACTTATTTTTAAATCATAAGCAACAAATCGTATACTCTCCTTATAGCTTTTGTTTTAGACGTTGATAGTACTTTCTATACCTAAGAGATATTCGGACACAATTTACGGACACTCCCACGAACGAGATAGAAACAGACTGATGCTTTTAACACAAATTGGGAGGCGGTGAGGCTGGTGTTGACAAGCACGACACTTGACACGTAGCAACAAAAGAACACTGGCATTTTCCCCAGATGATGATAGAGGCTGCTAGCTATCCCTCGAGTGTGAGGCTCACCCTTGAGTGTGTGGGCGTGGAGTGTGAGGTGTGGAGATGAAGTGGGTGGCGTGTTCAGCGTCTCATCGACCAGAGGAGCGTCCCCTACAGTTGAGGCGGCGTCCAGGCCTCGGCCACAACTGCCTCAGCCACAATTTCGTTTCGAGGGGAGAAATTAAGAGTTGCCGGATGTGCAATGTTCTTCACTCTCCCCTAACTATATCGAAACCATTTTATGGGGAAAGCTAATCATATGCATCAGTTACTGAAAAAACGATGCTCTAAAGAAATGTATATATGGATATCCGTAATGGCCGTAATAAAAATATATATCCTGGCAGTAATTAGTAACCACTGGCGGGAAACTTGAGGGGTGAACTTGGAATTCGGAATTTTCAGTGCGTCAGCCGAGCATAAGGCGCCCACCAGAAAATATTTATGTTCTCAGCGAATTTATCTTATTTTTTTCCCTTTTTATGATTAAATCATATGATGCGGACATCGTCTGGGCTGCCAGCAGTATGTCCTTGGACGAAGGGAAGGAGAGGGGAAATCAGCCACAGTTATTGATCGTGAGGAGCCGGCCAGAGGCAACAGCAACAGCAGCAGCAGCTTGCGTTAACCAGCACCAACAAGCACCTCGCTCACGTACCCTGCGTAAAATAAACTAACAAAAAAGCATGCGTAAGATTGTAAAACCACCATTAACAAGGATTTAGAGCCTATTGCGCCATACTATATAGTCTTTAGCTGGGATGCGACACGACAGCGCAAGGATACTGGAACCTATTCCTTGTTAATACTGGTTTTACGATTAAATATTTTCGCGTTATTGTGGAATTATCAAAGTAAATATGTAAATAAACAAATCGCGATATTAAGCTAAACCCAACCAGATTTAGGCAGAAGAATCCTTTTGTTAAAAAAAAAAGTAATTGCTGTTTTCGTAATGGTGTTCATTTTTTTCAATAAGAGGAAATATTTAATGTTATGCATGCCATATTCACAGTTCTGGGAAGCTCTTCTCAGACGCAGCAATTCTGGGAACTACTGTTGTTTGTCGCCGCCAACACTACACACAAACGTTTTTTTTTTTTTCTGGTTGGAGGAAGGAGATAGGGGAAGGAAACAACGCTGTTACTAGGAAGCACAAACGAGGTTTTCTTCATTTCATTAAGGTCTAGCGCTTCCTTTTGATTATAATAATAATCACTTTATTAATTGTCAGATTTATTAGTAATGTTGCTAGCAATATTGATGATAGTGAACCTAAGACTTAAAACGTTTTTGCTCAAGTATCTTTTTAAACCAATTTGTCAGTATCTGTTACCAAGGTTTTTGCCATAATAGTAATTATATCACTAGGCTTATGAAGACCTCTTCACTAGTATCAAAATACTCCCTCTTCCATCCTTTCATGAAGGTCGTATGCCTATCTGGTGTGTAATACAGCCAATGTAACAATAATTGTAAATACTGTAATTTTAACGTAAATATAGCTCGGTTCCCTGTTTCTGGTCTCCATGCTACTGAAATGGACATTGCGGTGAAGGATGACGAAGTTGATCCCGTTTACCGGATATCTTTCATAGGAAGTCAAGCTGGAGAGCTGGAGCTACTGATTTGCACTCTCTGGAACACTACAGAATTGGGGGAATATAATTAAAGTGTACGAATGGAAAACAGGAATAAACAATGTGCTGAAATATCTGACAAAGCCACTGGAGCCAGGAATCTCAGCAGTGAATTTCAAGTTAGAACAAATTTAGATATAAAATAAGTGTAGGGAAGTACTGGTTTGGCAGCAGTAGAGTTATAGATGAATGGAACAAAATGCCAGGTAGCGTCATTAAGGAGAGAACTTTGGATAGCTTTAAACATGGGTTGGACAGGTATGTGAGACGTGCGTAGAATGGGCCAATAGGCCTACTACAGTATACCTTCATTCTCATGTTCTTAATGGAAGGAAAGACAATGTAGGGCTTATATGCAATAAGAGCAAAACAAAACAAGTGATATCACAATATGCAAAATAACCACTGTGAAAAATAGTGAATTTCCAAGCGCTTTCGTGATTTCTCACATCAAGGAACTGATAATGTAAGAAATCACGCAAGCGCTTGGAAATTCACCATTTTTTCATAGTGGTTATTTTGCTTATTTTTTTTATACATACAGAAACGATAAACTCGTTAGGATCATACGACACTTGGGAAATTGAAGGTAATCAGGTTTTAACCTGTGAAGGAGAAAGTTGCTCTAAGTTCTTGAATCAAGAGCTCTTCACCAATATCCAGACATTTCCTTGAATGGTATTAAATTAAATATCTTGAGAATGGCTCAGTAGACCCCAGTGCTATACTTTGAAATGGTAGAGTTGCAGCTCCCAGGCATGTTACGAATCTGAGCTACAGCTCCTGGGCCCCTCTGTTGATGTACGTAGCTCCTCAGATCGGACGTAGTTAAAACTTGAGCCATGCTCAAGTCATTTACCTCCTGTTGAGTAAGTTAAGAATTAAGAGTCTCTCTAGTTAACCTCCTGTTGAGAGCCTTGAATGAGTGAACCTGTTAAGAACATTGAACTCAAGTAAATATCTTAAGAATACCTCCTCTCATCTACCACAAACTTTCACTGTGCTTGAGGACGTTAAGATATAAATATTGGCCGAAATAATCATCTACCTATATGTGTTCAGAAGGTTGAGCTCCAATTTCATAACGCTTATGATATATTCGAAAGGATTTAACTCTAGCTTCTGGAGCCGTAGAGGTACTCAACTGTATATAAATATACGTGCATAACAAACCACATGGATGGGAAACATTTAGCTCTAGATCTTTGACATTCGTATGTCGTCGGTCTTTTACATTAGTTTTTCGCTCTATTGTGTGGTTAGAATTTGTTTTATACTCCGATGTAGTTTTAATTTCCTCACGTTTTCAATATCGGAGTAATTAAAATTTCTCATCATTGAACTTCATATTGTTTTCTGCGGCCCATTTAAAGATTTGGTTGATGTCCGCCTTGAGTCTTGCGGTGTCTTAATGGAAGGACACTGTCAAGCAAATTTGAGTGTCATCTGCAAAGGAAAACACGGTGCTGTGGCTTACATCCCTCTCTATGTCCGATATGAGGATGAGGAACAAGGTGGGAGCGAGTACTGTGCCTTGTGGAACAGAGCTTTTCACCATAGCCGCCTCAGACTTTACTCTGTTGACTACTACTATTTGTGTTCTATTTATAAGGAAATTATAGGTCCATCTACCAACTTTTCCTGTTATTCCTTTTTCATGCATTTTGTGCTCTATTACACTATAGTCACACTTGTCAAAGGCTTTTGCAAAGTCAGTATATATTACATCTGCATTCTGTTTGTCTTCTAGAGCATCCAGAACCTTGTCATGGTGGTCCAGTAGTTGGGACAGACAGGAGCGACCTGCTCTAAACCCATGCTGCCCTGGGTTGTGTAACTAATGGGTATCTTGCTTCTCGGAACCCTTTCAAAGATTTTTATGATATGGGACGTGAGCGCTATCGTTCTGTAGTTCTTTGTTATTGCTTTACTGCCTCCTTTGTGGAGTGGGACTATGTTGCTTTTAGCAGCTGTGGGACGACCCCAGTGTCCATGCTCCCTCTCCATAGGATGTTAAAAGCACGTGACAGGGGCTTCTTGCAGTTCTTGATGAACACGGAGTTCCACGAGTCTGGGCCTGGTGCAGAGTGCATAGGCATGTCATTTATCACCTTTTCGAAGTCGTTTGACGCCAGGATAATATCAGATAGGTGTGTATCTACCAAATTGTCTCATAAAAAAATTCATTTAGGTCTTCGACTCTGGTTAGCGGCTCGCTAAAAACCGAGTCATATTGGGACTTGAGTAGCTCACTCATTTCCTTGTTGTCATCTGTGTAGGACCCATCTTGTTTAAGTAGGGGCCTAATACTGGATGTTGTTCTCGACTTTGATTTGGCATACGAAGAGAAATACTTTGGGCTTCTTTCAATCCCATTTATGGCTTTTAGTTCTTCCCACGTTTCTTGACTCCTGTAAGACATGCAGCAGTAGAAAGAATGTATGTTTCGTCGTTAAAGAGAGACCCTCTTGAACAGCTCTGCTGAGACTCTGAGGCTGAAATATACAGATCCTTTCTAGTCATGGCTTTATTTTAGGTCCATGTACAATTTACGTGTTCAGTAACTAGTTTCGTCTGTGGCGCTCTCTGGGACAGGTATGCCCCGTACATAACCACAACTCCTTGTGTGCCAACCCACGAAAGATGACCAAGAGCTGTTACTCAGGATCGTCAACAGAAAGAAGAGCTGCAGCTCAAATCCCTCAAAATACTTAAGAGGTGTACTAAACCCTTCCAAGAAATCCAGGAGTTGGAGATCAACAATTTCAAGAGGCCTGGGAGTTTCTAATGTACAAACTCGTAACACCCATTAAATGTCAAAGAACTGCAGATGAATATCCAAAAATCGAACCGGAGCTGTAGGTCAACACCCACAAGAGACTCAAAAGAACTGAACGCAACCACTAAAACTCTAGTAGACGAATCAGTCGCCGAAACTTGGTAGGTGCTTTGCGTAGAGCTATTCTCGGTAACTAGCCGTGGAGACTGTAACAAAAATAATAATAATAGTTTATTAGGGTATGATACATAGTTGTACAAGGTATTATAGTTGCGACAGTGATCCTCCATTACCTGTCGAGCTTAAAACAGCTGACACCCGCACTTACATCCCCATCACACAGTCTGTCACTGTCCTTGGAGTTAATCTTGACTACCTTCTTTTCTTACACGGTCATATTCACTCGAAGGCATGCAATAGCTAGTAAGGCTCTTGCGGACCTCTACAAGCTGAAACAAGCCTCCCAACGCGTCAAACAACACCTCTACAAATCCCTAATACGTCGTCTGATAACTTACTCTCCTCTAGCCCTCTCTCTTGCAGCTAAAACAAACTTAAACTGCAGCGTGTCCAGAACAAGGCGCTGCGCTGGGTGCTTGATGTCAGGTGGGAGGACTTCGCCACAAGCGAGTCTCTCCATGCCCAATTAGACTCCCCGCGCTGAATCTGTACTGGAAGACGCTCCAGTGACAAACTTGAGACACGACATGACTACTGGACCTCTCTCCG